TTGACGGGCTCGGTCCGGTTTCTAGTGCTGGTAGCCGTAACATTTTCCCCTTGGTTGTTGCTGCTGAAGGACAAAGTTGGCTTGAGGTGGCTGCTGATAGTGGTTATTAGACCAAGAGAAGCTTGGGTGGTTCCTCCACCTGGGATTGTACGTGTTTGAGTATGGGTCATTTCCTGTCTGGTTCTGATATCCTTGCACTGCATTTACCTCAGCACCTTGCCCCCCATAGTTTGGCTTGGCAGCCATAGGGCACACTTCCGAACTGTGTCCTTGCACTCCACATGCACCGCAAACATTCACGGCAATAGTCTGATTTGGCGAGGAACTTCTAGCATTCAGTAGCCGCATTTGCTCCGTGAGCTCGGCTAACTGCTGGGCCATGACATTGCTTCCTGGACCGATCTCATTTACTGTGGACCTCTTCCCTCAGACGCTCTTCTGAGATGAGTTCGCACTCATCGTCTCATATATTACCATCATCTCCTCCGCCGTTCTTGCCTCAATATCCCCTCTGGCTGCATTGTCCACCATGTACTGCAAGTTCTGGTGGAGGGAGTCGTAGAAGCAATTCGCCAATAGCCCTGGTGAGAGGTTATGATGTGGGCACTGCCGTTGGAGGTCCTTGAATCGTTCCCAAGCCTCATGAAGAGGCTCATTTGGCAGCTGAGCAAAAGAGACAATTTGAGACCGGATATTTTGGGCCTTCTGATGGGAATAGTACTTCCCGACGAATTTGGTGTAAACTTCTGCCCAAGTTGTGAGAGAATCCGGTGTGAGGGTCATGAGCCAGGCCTTGGCCCGGTCCTTCAGTCTCCGAGAAGCACCGCGTATTTAGCTGGTCCTCAGTCAGTCCGTGGAGAGGGAATGTCTGGAGGACGTTGTAAAGCTCCCGGATGAAGTGGACTGGGTCTTTGTTGGGGAGCCCGTGGAATGATGGGAGCTGATTGTAGTGGATCATCTTAAGCTCGTAGTTCTGAGCATCTTGTGGCAACTGGATGCATGAAGTGATTGGCCCGATCATGGGTTGGGCCAGGATTCGGAGGAGATCTCGGGGAGGTTGCTGATCAGCCAGGTCCAAATTGCTTCCTTCGGATGATTCGAGAGGAAGCTCGTCTAGCAGCTCTCTCAGGCTCTCGTTGAAGGGCTTGTTGATTAGAGATAGTATACGTCCACTCCTAGTACGCATACACTCAAACGAATAATGGGTTACGAGCACCAATGATAGATAAAAGAAACTAAAGTGAAAACAAAAACGAAAAAGGAACTAACACTTAAAGAAAGAAAAAGAAACAAAGAGAAACACGAAAAATAAGATGAATAAGCGCATAAAATACATCCTAAACCTTCCCCGGCAACAGTGACAATTTTGTTGTAAATATTTTCTCCGAAGTAGAATCTAAAGATTCGAACACCGGGTCGTGTCTCTCGAGGAAGGTTAGCCAGATTATTATGCAGGTTTATTCAACCACACAAAAGAAAATAAAAATACCTAGACATTCTAATTCAGATGATTTGGTTTGATTATTAACTACGAAAAAGACTTCAAATAAGGTAAATAGAAATAGCAAGCAATCGACAAAGAACAAGTAGGATTTAAGAAGCTAGGGAGTCGGGGATATCCGTTTTGGTTCGAAAACGCAATTATCAAGCAAGAGATTGTTCAGCTAAGTGATTTGAATAATCGACACGTTCAAGTACTCTTTTTCAATAACTTTTCGTAACAAGAGAACAAATCAGAACGGAAAATTAACAATTCATTTAACTTCTAGGCAATACAGTTACGAACAAGCCTAGTTCATACGGGCCTATTTCGACCGACTCCTCCCCTTTCGGTTCTAAGAGTCGATTAAAGTTGACTAGAAGGTGTTTAATCAACTAGTCCATTTAGAATAACTAACATCAAGCAAGAATATATCAAACTCAATTGCAAACAATTGGGGATTGAAGTGTCATCCTTCAACAGTTCTAAATACTCGAGCCCGACAATTGAAAAACCCTAGAAAAAGATCAACTCGTATGAAATTGAACAATCCTAAACTCGACAATCACAAACGATATCAAAACATCAATCCCCTATCCCTAGCATATGGATTTAGCCAATCATAATCCATTCAACACCAACAATCTCAACAATCAAGACAAACATATTCATAGATCAAATGAAAAGAAAATCTTACGAGTGATGAAATCCCAAGGTTGAATACGATAAACAAGCTTAATCCGAAAGAAATAGTGAAATCCGAGTTCAGATCCGTGTTCTACGATGAAAAATATGGAAGGAAGATGAAAAACGAGAGAAAAGAGACGAGAGAGTAGGGTATTTATGTTCTGGAGTCGAGGGATGGTCCTCTCGCAAAGTGCCGATCTCATTTATATACACAAGCAGTTGGCACGGTGTGGCACAGGCGGCGCGGCGCGACAAGGCGCGGTCCCGCGGCGCGGCAGGGTCTTCACGGCGCGGTGGTGTGCAAGGCGGAGTCTTCAGTCCAGGTCGTGGCATGGGCGGGCGCGGCGCGGTGATGCACGAGTGGCACGGCGTGGGGCCTGGCACGCCGCGGAGCCTGGGCTGGTGGGCAGCTCGCACGACTTTGCTTCTCGGGCCCATTTGAGTTCGTTTCAACTCAGAATTCGATTCTGCTTTTTCCTGTGTGTTCCCAACAAACTCCTCTCTTTGATTAGGCTAGCCCAACTAGTATTTTTTCGAAATCCTGTTCTCCTAAGACTTCCAACCTACACACCAATGACAACGAAAAAAACGGAAAACAAATGAAAAACACAAGAAAGACCAAGAAGAGAGCAAACACTAAATAAACTATAAAACGACCTAAAAACCAATTAAAACACCTAAAATGGGAGAAAAATAAAGACTAAAAGACAACGAAGAACGCAACAAAGATGGGACAAACAGTGCATAATACACATATATGGTAACATGCATTATAAAAGACATTAATGTGCATTTCGTATAACATTATTGTGTATCATGCATCATATGTAATTTTAAAGTGCATATCTATACACGATATTGTGCAATTTAATCAACACTATTACGCATTTATTAATTTTTTTTATAAATTATCGATTTTAACACTAATTAAAAGGCATTCAATTTAAATTTCTTAAAACTGCAGATAGGTCCCTATAATATATCTAATTATCATTAAAAAAACTCTAACCCCAAATTAATGTTACACCACCTTCCACCACCCCACGCCTGCCATCCCTCTACCCACCACACCACCACCAGCCGCCGTATCGGACAGTCCATTGCCGGAGGCGCTCAATGCCGGAGCCGATTCGTACTTATGGAAGTTGAACGGCGGATCGTGGGACCACCAAAGCCTTCCGCACAACCCCGTCAGCATCTTCCGATAATATTGAACTCGCGCAGCGACGGTGATGAGCCATACAAAAGGGACTAGTGACACAGTGGCTCATTGATATCGTTTCTTGCAGCAGAAATCGGCGGACATGGGTGACGAACAGCGCGACCAGCCTCCTCAATGGAAATTAGACGGACCGTCGAAGCTTGTCTTGCACTGGAGAGGTGGCGGACCTGCGGCCGACGGAGAAGCAGAAAGCCGGCGTGGGAGATCAACTGAATGCAACACTAGGTGAAGGCGTCAGTGTTGAGGTTGGCATTAGGGGTGAGAAAAATCGAGCCAAAACCAAAAAACCGAGTTGAACTAATGTATTCGGTGCGGTTCGTTCGGTATTTCAAGGGTTCGATTTTCAGTGTGGATATAATTTTAGAAAAATCAAAAAATTCAGTGCGGTTCAGTTTTGTGTCCGAAGGGTGCAGTTTTAATCGAACTGCACTAAATATGTCAAAATGCAATTTATTTATACTGTTGGGTCGTAGCGTAGGTAGGGAGACAAGCTTTTGCTTTTCACTTTTGGGCCTTTGGGTTTGGAGCCTTTGAGGCGTTTGACCATTTATAAAGTAATAATAATGACATTTACCAATTAACCAAATAATTTATAATTAACAAAACTTAAAATTCTATTGCTTGAATCTTTCCTTACTGGACTTGACTTTTGTCAACTCTCAACTCACGCAGTCACGCATCTCAACCTCAAGCTTTCTATCTCTCCCGTCTCTCTCCCTCAGGCTCAGCCGGCCCGCCGTCGGCTGCTCAACTTTCAACGCTCGCTCGTCGTCACCAGCCTCAATTTAAGTTAGTTCACAATCTTTCCAGTCTTTTTCTTTCCTTTTTCAATTCACCCTCTTTCTTCACTGTGTGACCAAGAATCCTAATTTTGTCTTCAAATTGATTTATTTTGGGTATTTTTTAGCTACTTGCGGTTTAACAAAAACCGCACAAAAAATTTTGGTGCGGTTTTTCCTCCAAGCTCGGTGCGGTTCAGTTTGGACAAACGTACATTTTCAGTTTTCCATTTTTTTGATTTGTTGCGGTTTTTCACCAAACTGCACCGATGCTCACCCTGGTCGACGAACAGATGCGGCAGAGGTAGATGAGATGGAGGAACGCCGACATCTATTGCGTCCGGTGGCTATGCGGCAACGATGAGTGGTGCGCCGGTGAGAGAATGAAAGAGAGTGGATGACCGTGTATGTGTATGTGTGTTTATCTATGTGTGCAGGTGTGTGTAATGTGTGTGTACTGTGTGTGTGGTGTGTGTGTGTGAGAGAGAGAGAGAGAGAGGGTCGGATGGTGATGTGCAGTGGATAAGTGATATGTAATTATTGGGTGTAGGTGAGTGGGTAATTGGTATGGCAGTTTGAAAATAAAAATGTCTAAAATACCTTTATTGAATATATAAATGCTGGATTTTTTTTTTATCGTTGGATCATCTGATTTGATGGCTAAGATTTATTCTTATTTCTTTCACTGAGCATCATTCTCACCGGAGCGTGACCCTATATATATAGTTTTGTAATGGATTCATATAAAAAATATTAATTAAATATTTAAATAATTTAAAATTTTTAGATGTTTAAACTAATTGATAAATAATTTATAAATCTCTATTTCATTTCAATATGTACTTTTATTTATATTNAAGCCGAGCTCTATGCAGGCCCTGAGCTCGTCGAGATCCTCGTCGGTGACGCTCCGGCTCCGCCGCCGGCGGCGATCGGCCTTCTGCCGGAGCCACGCCTCGTCGCGGTGGGAGTCCGGGGACCACGAGCTCTGCTTGCGCAAGGGGGCCGCCGCGTGAGGCAACAGGTGCTTCGGCTGGGGAGACATCGGCGGCGGCCGATCCCTGCGGCGAAGCTCGGCAGCTCGCGGCAGCGATTGCCTTTTTTCGGGCGGTGGAGCGTCGCTTGAGTCAACGCGCATCCTTGTATATGTGTGTATAATTGCAAGCAAAGAATTTAATAAAATTATTTTTGTTTCTCGTCTTTTTACGTTACAATCTTATATTCTTTACTTTTTTTTTTTGGTTACTTTATAAAAAAATTTGTAAAGTTCTTAATCAATGACAACATACTATATTTTTTAACATTATTTTATAAAAATTTGTAACAATCGTACACAATGACAACATGTTATATTTATTTTGTACTTTTTAAAGAATCTATAACGGTCCTAATCAATGAAAACATCTATATTTATATATATATATAATTGCTAGCTAAGCAATAAATTTTACCTAATAAATTTTACTTATGTGGCAAATCATTAATAAAAGCTAATAAATAGAACTTAATAAATTTTATTTATGTGGCATTAATACACTCAATCTCATTAATAAGAAAATATTTCATTATATTTTTTGGGTTAATTAAGACAAAAACCATTATATTTTATGTTAATTGATTAATAATTATATTTTTTATTGAATAATATAATAGTTAATATTAAAATTAGTAATATTTTATACTAAATAATATATGAAAGTTACATAAAATTATATTTTACACTAAAATCATTATTTTTTATATGATGAAGATATTGTTTATTAATAAGTTAATTTTGTTTATGTCATAGTAAAATTTTTTAAAATCACATAAACAATTGTTATAATAAATGTAATATTTTTCAGCTAATTAATTGGTCATGATCACTCAAAATTATAAAAAGTATATATTTATTGCATTTTATGCAATCAATATAGCGATTCGTATACAATCAAATCGTGTGCACTATTTATTTTAACCAATGATCAAATTTTAAAATATAATACTACTATATAATTTATAAATTTAATATTATACACATAAATATAACTTATAATACTATATGTTTGAAATATAATACAATTATATAACTTATAATTTTTATATTATATACATAAATATAACTTATAATATTTAATTTTATTTACATTTGTGCAAATGCACAAGGTCGAATACTAGTACCTAATCAAATTACACATAATTTTATCAATTATTTCGGTTATAATTTAAAGCTAATTTATTAAGTTAAGCCATTACTAATTTAAGATACAAATTGTTATTTATACTAACTTGACCTAAACCAATTTTTATTTTTTTTATTTTTATTTTTACCCCTTCAAATTCTATATATAATTGCTATAATAATAAATTTAATATTGTGGTATCTAACTAATTTTTCATTATCCGCCAAAATTGCAAAAGTTGTCAATATAAAAACTCATATGTAAGTTAAATAGTTTATATCTATATCCTTGTTTTTACTAATGATAAAATGTATAAGAACTACTAATGATTATAAGGTTGTTGGTTTAAGTTAAAAAAAATAATTATTTTTTTAAATGTAAGAATTGCTTTCTCACTTTGTTATTACTTTCTTTATTATTTCTCTTATTCCAATAGTATATCTGCTGTAGCCTTTAACTACAAGTTACTGAAAACATTATTACTAATGTTAAACAAAATAAACAGTAATTAAAAAAAAACAGTTGTTTATAACTTTTAAATGACTTAAACAATTTAAAATAAAGTGAATATACAATATATATATATACACATTTAAAAAATTGAAAATTAGTTCCTGATATTTTAATCAAATGGAACTATTATTAGGAAAAAAAAGCGTTTGGAATCAATTTTGCATGAGTTGGGACCAATTTGCAACTCAACATATTCTATAGGAATAATTTTACAATGTTAAAAATTTCTTATTAATCACCTAACGGCTCCATCAAAATCCATTCACTTTTAACAATTATATGATACTTTTCATCATTAGAATTATATGATACTTTTTTTTTTCCATGTGAAACAACGACTAAAAAAACATGGACCTAAAATCGAAGAAACACAAGTATTCAATTCATTTTCTCGAACACAAGATAAGAAATCAATCCGAAGTGAAAATAAGTAGTTTCATTTGATTATTTTCACGGTTCAATTGTTTTTGTTTGGAAGCGATTTTATTTTGGGGCATGCATATAAAGTTATAAACAGAAGATCCAGGTATATTCACGTTCTTATATTGGGCATGTATATAAACAGAACCAAATATATTCACTGTAACTATGTTTCATACTTTTTTAAGTATCAATTAAGATTTGGCTTAGGCAATAAATGATACTTTTTTTTTTATGTACAAACAACGATTATAAACACTTTGATCTAAAATCGAAGAAATATTTCTCCAAAAAACAAAATAAATTCGAAGAAACATAATCTTATATTGGTGTGTTTTTGTGTTATAAGTGGAATACAATTGGGTATTGTTCATTTGGTTCCTCACATTTTTTTTAATCAAACATCAAATTTGGTTCCTCACATTATCAGGGCAAATTCGTGTCTGCCCATGAGGCATTGCCCTCATGTGACTCCCATTATCAGATTAACCAAACAAGGTAATAATAACACAAGGGCTTTGACATGTCAAACATGTATGATTATTCCTCTCTACATTTTCTTCAACTACTACATAACAACCTTAAACCAACAATCGACTCATGAGCTCTAATGGCACACAGAAAAAAAGACAAGGAAGAGAACAGCAAAAAACACACGCGAAAAACAAGATAACAATCATTTGATATAACAAAGTTACAAATGTCAGCAAAGGCAAGAACAAGAATAGATAATTGCCATACCATAATTTTATCTCTTAGAAAATTACGATCTTTATATAGAGAACGGGTTTCTAGTTTCTATCTAGCCGAACCCGAATCACATATTGTTTCACCCAATTCATTCTCACATTCAAATTTAGATTTACCTGAAATGGCAACATTAAGAAAAGACATGCTTTACCCTTTTTATCATTCTTGATGATGCATTATTTCAGATTGGTCCTCATCAGAATCCTCATCCTCCTCCTCAGTGCTAGCATCATCGTTAAACAAATTGCTTCTCAAACTCCTCATCTCACTTTCAGCATCATTATTCTCTACCAATTTTATGTCACGGTGTTTTACCAAGATCCAGCGCAGTAAACGGTCCTCCTTATTTAGGTAGTGCAGCTCGCTGTTGAGACTTGGTGGGGCCATTGTCGTCATCTGCATTAGTTGACCCTACAAAAATAGAGCATCCTTATCAAATTAAACATGGAGGCTAAGGGAGGAATGAAGGACAAGTGTTTTTCAAATGGAAAATTAGTCTAAGACTACTAGACCATAAACGAATTTCACTTAATTGGAGTTATTACTGTTTCAAATTTTATATTGATGAAACTTTGATTATGGCATGCACTTCCGGCATAATATGATGACAAGAAAGTGTTAAAGTATCACCACGTCAAAAGTAGCGAAAAGATAAATTTGTAAATAATCATAATAGCTGTCTTTTGGAGCCAAGTGCCCACTAACAGTAGAAATTATGCCATAGCATGTCAGGATAAAAAAAAAATCGAAATTACTAAAAACTCAACCTTTTGAATATAATAGGATCCTTAACAATTCATATAAAGAGTTAACTGATGACAAGTACAGAAAGGGTGGATAATGGAAGAATAACCATCAATAGATAATCCAAAACATGCTGTTACGCAAAAGTCTGTTTTATGACTAAACCGCACGAGCAAGAAACAAAATAAATATGTGAAATTCAAATCATGGTGCGACAGCCATAGGACTACAGATGCATAGTATTAGTGGCCGATGGCAATCTGAGGACCATAGGACTATATAAGGAGACAAGCAAGGCCTCGCTAACATAACATACCAAAGTTTAAACAAAATATATAGATGATGCATTTACATGTTCAAGTCCAAATTACAGAATAAAACTCAAATATGCCAAGACGACAAGTCAAAACTATATAACATAAGTGTTAAGCAAATACACCAATGGAAACAGAAAGAGAAGAAGGATATGAAAAAATATTGGTACTCGTGTTGTCAATTCCCAGTATAAGACCTGAAGATAATGTAAATCATTTTAGTTGGCAACAATGGAGTAAATAAAAATAGAAAAACTAAAAGACAAACACCAAAAAATAGAAACAGAAAAAGAAAAAAATAAAATAAAAACAGACAATGAAATTAAAAGCAACTGAAAAGTCTGATAGTAAACAATGTTAAAATGAATAAAAATATAAATATAAACAAAATATACATAAAAAAAAAAAGAGAGAGAATAGAAATAAAAAGGGAGGAGAGGAAAGAAAACATGTGGAACAATGCGCTACGCAGGGACTAAGGGAAACTGGAGGCGAGTAAATAGATGGCGTTCATAGAAGGCCAAAAATGAGTAGGACTACCTGGTGGTCCTTTCGATTTTCAAATATTGCAAGAATATTTTTTTTTTTTTTTTTTTGCCATAATTCTTAAAAACCAGAGATCTAGTTGGTTGTAGGGCTGCGAAATATGGTTTCGATAGACCTGCAGCCAAACCATATAAAAGGTTCTTTGGACTGACTCTGAATGAATTTCTTCTCAATTAGAGATAGTAACACTTAAATCAATGATACTTACAAACGGGCATACACCCAAGCATTATTCCACAAAAAAGCTCTACACATTAACTGCACTCTAACAAAAAACAATCATAAGACCCATTATCAAGCAAGTGCCTGTTCCTCCTGACAGTACAAATCTATGCCATAGAATGGCCTTAGAAAAATCAGTGGAACTAATAATGACTAAATCCTTCATGTGATCACCATCAAACCAAGTTCTGATGACTAATGTTGGGCACCAAAGAAAAAGTTGGACAACAGAAAGGGCAAAATCAACTAATTGCGGGATATGTTACTTCCTTACTGGTTTCTCAGGTAAACTGAATGGTTGAATCAACAATTCTTTTCCCTTATTTGAAAAACAAACTCCAAAAAAGCTCCAGATGGTGATGAAAAAAGATCCATTACACCGTACTTGGGAAAAAAAAAAGACCAAAGTGATGAAGTTCGATGGTATACTGAACTCATTCGACTTTGCAGACATCATTTTGTTCAAACAAGAATATTCTGCCAGAAATCAAATTCACCAAAAGCATTATGAGAATTGTAAATGATTTGCTAGATAACAACTATCCCTCCTATTTTCATTCAAATAACAATGGCATGTGGCAAACGGACGCCAAATTACAGAATGATTGAGTAATGCCCTGCAGCAAAACTAACCAACTTCGCAACAAACTCAAACATTAACTAATACAAATAAACTGCAAGTCAAGCCATAAAATTGACAATTTACTAATAATTAAACAAAAAATAAAAAAAGCAAGCCAACGTGAAATCTAACAAACAAAACAGACACGTGATTTCACTGAAACAAATGTGTCGTTGCAGGGAAAAAAGTTCTAACTTGATAGTATCGTCCGTCAAGTTTCTTTATGCCATAACCCAAATGAACCTCTCCAAAGGACCTCATTTCAGTCACCACTCCATTTCTTCTGTAGATGTGCTTTCCTACGCGTGCAAGAAGATCAATCATGGCCTCTCTGCTCACATTGGGTTTCAACAGAAGCATGCAATCATAAAGTGGCATTTTGTTTTTCTCCAAATCCCCCTTCTCAACTGGAAAAAAAATATCATTTAAGCCACAAATGAATCGTGAACTACTCATGCTAAGTATTGATTCAATACAACTCCGTTCATGCTAACTTGGTTCATTAATTTTAAATTGCTAAAAACAAGATGTGAAGGATAGCAAAAGCTTTTATGAGCTGGTTACACATAGGAGGTCCAAAAATAAACCCGAAAATTCCATAGTACAATATTCATCATCACAGTTCTAAATTATTTTCAACATTCTGCTTATCAAAAACAAATCAGTCACAATTAATCTTCTACCTTTCGCATCACGTCTACAACAATTACGATACACTTTTCAGGGAAAGGCAATGACACAAGAGCGGAAATGGCAATACTTCCACCATAAAATGCAAACCAATCAAAATGATTTTCTGTTTTCATATTCAAAGATATGCTTAACCAATCAAAATGTTGTGATGCACCAATTTCTACCGAATGATGAGAGCTGATAACAAATTTCTGAAGAAATATAATAACCTGGAGAAATCAAAAGAAAAGCTCCAAATATGTAGAAGCAAAGATTGTAATTGAGACTGAGAGACAGAAAGGATTACCTTAGTCAAATTTCTTATTTGAGGGTGCTTTTTTTGCTCTTAAACCCTACTCTCGTGAGAACGACAGCGGTGGAATTTCTCCACTTTTTTCATCTACTTCATTTGGGCTATTTGTTTATATTATAATTAGTAGATAATAAAATAATTATACAACAAAATTCAATGAAGAAATAAAAGAATTTATTTTTTAGGGTAGTTTATATATATTAGTACAGTACCCGTGCGATGCACGGGGCTTTATTATTTTCGTTTCTTTTAAAAAGCAATTTTCAATTAAAATTCAAATTATATAATAAAGGAAAGACCATACCATTACTAATTACTAAATATAATGAAAATAAAATCTATATATCATGGAACACTTCCTTACCAAAGATAATCTACCTTCTACAAAAATCTCAAATCTCGGGAATATCAACACCGATGAGTAAGGTCACATCCTTTGATGTGGTAATTCGAACTTCACCAAATTAAAAAATATATTGGATTAGTCGATCAAATCAAAAAAAATGTCAAGTTATTTATTGAGTTTAATTATATTAAAATTAATGAAATACCACTCCACTCCTTAGCACGGTACATTTGCATGATGAGGACAAAAAGTTCTTCTTGATTTTGGTAATGATGCTCAAAAGCAATTAACTGGTCAACATATTGGCCCCAAAGCGTAGAGTTCTTCATGTTTTTCCTACACAACGTCGACAAAATTTAAAAGGTATTTTATATGTTAAAAAACATTCAACACAATTATTATATATACTGATAAATCAACCGTATGAATATATAATGTTACGATTTCTGACTCTAAGTCCATAAGAGAGAAGATGATTATTTGGGTAGGAACTCCTTTGACAATCTCCATTTGAATATGTTGTACAGAAACAACTAATCCAATAACATCTACAAAAATATATGACAATTCATCACATTAAATTGTCATAATAGATTTTATTATTTTGAATTAAATATATAAAATTTTGAAATAAAAATAAACAAAAATTTAGAACGTACAAATCAATATGGATTCGTCCTTCCACTTGTGAAACTTAGTATGCCCGTTAATAATGATCCTCCAAGTGCAAATTGTCGATTTGTAGATGCCAATATTGCTTTCCACTTAGTAGTTTTTAAAGATATAAGTCCCACCTTCTTCAATTTCGTCGATGAATTGTGGAATATTGATGGGTCGGATTATACCAATAATTCATCCTCTCTAAGAAAGTACATATTCAATAATTAATTAAGAAAAATCATAAAAAAATGCAGCATAAAATGATGAATAAAAATAATAATATAAGGACAAATTACATCAGAATTATGAAATACAGTCTTAAGAGCGTTTCGATAATTGCGCTCGTCTTTAATGCGTTGGAACATTATAATGATGCGTAGCTTGATCATTGGCCTATTAGTTCTTTTGTATCTTTGATTTTTCCAAAAAACAAAATCATTTTGGATGGGGATGGAAAAACTGATTCAAAAGTTTGTTTTGTGGGATGCATTATTTCCAGTCGATGTTTGGTTCAATGACACACCAATGTGGTGTTTATATAGTGATTGTGCATGTCCCATGTACCTATAAATTCGAATTTTAAAAACAGAAATTATCAAAAAAAAAAAATGAAAATAGAATTTTTAGATATTTGGTAATGTAATCAAGGATTGACATTAAATGGATTTAATTTTATTTTCCTAACTAATTGGATAATGATTAATGATTGACACAAAGTTCAAAGCTAACAAATTTTGTTATAAAAGAAAAAAGGATAGAAAATTTCAATTGATTTGAATCCTCATAACCTAAACATCTGTCAATTTTGATGGGATATCAATTGATTTGAATTTTCATAGCCTAAAAATATGTCAATTTTTAGAGATTCACATGGATTTTGTTAGAAAATAGAAAGAGGATAATTTTTATGGAAGGTAATTATAAACAAACATTTTTTAATGTGTATCAAGGATTGCTTAAAAGAGTTGTATTGAGACTATATCACTATTACTTGAAAAAATCGCAACATATAAGCACCAAATATACATCCCAAAATTAATTTTTTGAAAAAATAAAAAGATGACCAAATTTGAAATGATTTGCGTTCGAATTTTTATTTTATTTGAATTTACTATCCTAAATAATTGGATTAGGATTGACATCAAACAAAAATTTTATTCGACTTTGTTTAAAAAAAGGGATATGAAATTGTTGTATATTGTGTTTAAAATATAAAAAACTTGAATTTGAAAAAAAAATAGCAAATCTATTAGTTAACAAAAAAAGATACAAAATCAATGTGAATCCCATAAGAAATATGAGATTGCACGTTATTTCATAATAGATTTGATAAAATAATAAAAAAAAATGGGACAAATTTGTTTTTACATATAAATTGTTTTTTTCCAAAAAGAAAATAAGATATCAAATTCAATTAAATATGCACAAATTATGTATGGGATATCAATTGATTTAAATTTAATTCAACAAAATTATTTGATTTGTTAACCAAAAATGTACTGGTACGTTTTTTAATATGTATATCACATTCAAATCTCACATTTTTCAAATTCAAATACTTTCCAATTTTATGGGATATTTATTGATTTGAGTTTTGGAAACCTAAAAATCTTTAATTTCAAAAAGATTCACATGGATTTAGGTAGGAAATAATAAGAGGATCAATTTAGTTACCAAATAAGATGGCTTGGCAATAAACAATCCAAATATCCAATTTTTGAACCATTTATCGCGTGTATGTTTTAATTTGTTACTTATAAAAATAAGTCAGCAATTTATTTTTTAAGTCAAAATTACTATTTATGTATTTTTCCAACAACTTTTTTCTGTTAGTATAGATGTAAATATAAATAATAATGCAGTTTATTTAAACAAAACATTATAAATAAATTAAGGTTTNTGTAAATAATTATGAAATTTGTTACCAAAAAAACCCAAAGAATCCGATCATATTGTGGATGTTGTTATAATAAAAAAATGATGCTAACAAATTCGAACCTCTACAAAATTTTTGGCTAAAAGATTTACCAAAATTCTTAAAAACCATTATGACATGTGGGTTGCATAATTTACTTATATTAGTAAGTCAACAATTTATTTTTTAAGTCAAAGTTACTATTTTAGTTTTTTTTTTCAACAACTCTTTATATCTATCTATATATAAAGAGATTGTTGGAAAAATACATTCATAGAAAGTTTGACTAAAAAAAATAATGTTTGACTTACTATTTGTAGAAATTAAGAAAAAAACACATGTGAATCTTTAGTAACAAAATCTGAATCCTATTTTTTTTGTAACAACTTTGGAGATTCTTATGGCAAAATTTAAATTTTATTTTTTTCGTATCATTTTTTTATTTTTTTTTTATAAAAATTTGAATTCTATTTTTTTCGTAACAAATTTAGAGATTCTTATGCAAAAAATGTGTCAATTACTTACAAAAACAATTCTAAATACAAATTAAATTAAAAACAGTGCAAATTGGATACTTATTTGTTAAACAAATAGTTTTAGAATTCTTAACAAATTCTTCTAATTTTTTTAAATAATTTTTTCTTTTGCAAAATGTGTGCAAATCAGATAAAACTACGTGCAAATTTCATTTTAAATCAAAATTGAGATTTGGACAAAATATACATTCAAAATCGTATCCACATTTTTTTTATAACAAAATCGGTTCATCATTGATATTTAAAGTCACACCTTATCAAATTATTTAGAAAAAAAAATTCAAATCAAATTCAAAATCATGGACAACTTTTACAAGAGAAAACCATGTGCAAATTTTCAAAATTTGAATGCAAAAAAATAATGTTTGACTTACTATTTGTAGAAATTTAGAAAAAAAAAAAACATTTGAATCTTTAGTAACAAAATCGTAGGCCGATCTATAATTTAATTTTCAGTTTCCGTAATCAGACTGTCGATTCACATTATCTGTGAACAACGAGTCCGATTCGAGTATCTCTGGCTACAATAAAAACGCAGATCCACACATGTGCATGAATAAACATTTTCAAAATAAATTAAAATAAAAAATATAAAAAAATCAGTGATTTTTGTTCAAACAAGAACTGTAATCGATCTACCCAAACAATAAAACACGATCCACACATGTTGTGGATGTTGTTGTAGGTCATTGATCGAAAACGGCGATACAATATGAAGACTCGGCGAGAGGAAAATGTATTTTGAGTTTCAGAAAGTGAAGAGTCGAGAGAAAATGATATGAAAAAAATGAGAAAACCCTAAAAAATCGGGTAAATCACCTTATTTATAGAAGATATGATATTATTTCCGTCTGATGATATATTGTTGACGAATTTTGGTTGTTGGATCAACCAGTATTTTAAAAAACGGGCCTACATGTTTGTTCTGAACTCGGCCGAAACTTGGGTTGTATTTAAGAAGCTAATTTATATTTATTTGATTGTAGAAATGGGGCCCAAAAAAAATTAAAGGCCCAGAATAAATGAACAACAACATGTTATATATATTATTCTCATAGATTTTCTCTTATTTTTTATTTTCAGAAAAGAGTATATTTCATCATTCTACAGTTATAAGTGATGCTCAGTATAAACGTCAAAATACTTGTGAAATGTTGCAGACTTCCCAAAGGAAACATTATCTGATACCACAAATAGTAAAAAAATTATTATCTATTTTGAACAAATGATTATTACTTATTTTACACAATAAATTTTGTTAAAAATTAAATTAATTGTTTTTATTTGTTGTATTTATTTTATTGTAGTTTTTGGAACTACCGAGTTATCTACGTCAGCGAAAAATATCTATTCTAGCATTTGGAGTAAGAGTTTTTAATTTTTAATGTCATCTATAAGTACTAATGTCATCTATAAGTAGTATATATAAATGACAGTTATGATTCAATCATAACTATTTTATTTTTTTGTTTCATTTCAACTTGCAGATACTATACAATCATCTTATGCTCCGAAATCAAATTTGACTACTCAACAGAACTCCACCTTTTATGCAAAAATGAGTGTGTTGGAGGAGAAACTATCGTAATTGATCTCACAAGTGATGATGATTCTGAATTGAGTAATATTCCTCAAACAACTTTTGA